AAGATTAGGCCCAAAGTTCTGAAGGCAGAATCTTTATTGTTGGAGAGGAATGACACAGAAAGAATCCAGCTTGACTTTCAGATTCAGGGACTTTAAGAATTTGCAGGAATAGAACTAAAAACATTTTTACTTGTAAACTGAATGGATATGATCCTTGGATGTGATAACAGAAGTAAATCAATATTAGTATCACAATTGTTTTTAAAGTAACTTTTCAGAGTAGAACCATATTTTAATGTGAATTACTGACCTCACGTCCCCATAAAAGAAAAATTATATAAATCAAATCTCCTTAAACATTAAGGTTGCGAGAAACTAACAAACATGAGAAAAACAGGATGAGTCCTTTAGGTTGGAATACTAAGGGTCTTAAAACAATGACCACATATGAAGAATAAACACTTTATGGGGTATTAAGTGTACTGCAAAGCTAAAACAAAAATTAAGTTAAACCCAGAAATATGCTGGAGACCTCCCCCAATAAAATTGTAAACTACTTCAACAGATAATTACATTTAGTTTTAGTTTAATTTTCCCCACTCTCACTTTAACGCAAGTCATATCACAAATATTTGTCAAGCTCCAATATACTCAGTGCTATTCAGAGGAAAGAGAAAAAAAAATGGACCATGCTCTCAAGTTTATAATCTAACTAGACAAAAAGAGGTGATCAGAAGATCACAGGGCAGTGCAATTTTTAGTTTATTTTTCAATAATCAGTTGACCAGGTTGATAGACTTCGCTGAAAAAGTGTGCTTTTGAAGTAGGACAGTATAAGTACAGCACACTTGACACATCACAAAAAAGAGGGCATTCTGGCATGTCCAGGGAACCTGAATGACAGGGACAGGGAGGGTTTTTTTTTTTAAAAATTATTACTATGGCTTCTTACAAGAGTTGCTATGACAGGAATTGCCATGGCACAGGACTCTGAAATCACCATTACAGCACACTGACAATATAGCAAAGTAATTTCATTTAAGCAGACCTAAGCAGCCCAGCAATGAACCACAGCAGGTATATTCCTGTGCCTGCACAGAGACCCACTGACTTCAGAAATGCTCCAGATCAGTTCAGGGGACCAATCATGCAGTTTATTGCAAAGTCTGATTTCTGAGTTGAATTCTTCCGTAGTCTGGTCTGCACATACTTCTAAGCTTCACTCAATTTCCATGTTGACTTTGCAGTTCACATAAGAGATGGCATTCATTTTGCTCAGCACAGCTTTCAGAAAATTCACACGGTTTGAGCATTTCTCACAACACCAATTTATTTTTGAAGTGTTGAAAGTCCATCTAATCAAAAGTGACCTAATTTGAGCCAACACTGTGAAGACCAAACAACAATTTATGAACATGGATTTTTAGACACTAACAAGGAGCTACAATGGGGGCTAAAAAAATCATTTTCACATTTAAGTGAAGTGAAGCCTGGCAGCAAATTGGACCACTCCATTACACTAAATTTGTCAACTGCAGTTCTCTTTACCTACATATAGTACATTTTCTATTTCCCATGAAGCAATTCATCAGCAAAGAATATTTATAGTAAAAAGAGTAAAAGTTTCATAATACTCTGCTGCCTAATATTATACATCATGCTCTAAATTAAAGGTTTAAAAACTTTCACACCAATTCATAGTATTCAAACATATCAAACTATTTGAACGTAAATAGTTACCTAATTTAAAAAACATGTTAATATAAAGGTTCGTAAAGTAAAAAGCATTTGTCAGCATGAATGAATGCCAATATATTTGGGAATAAAGTTCAATTACAACTGATACTTATTAGTCGCCAGATGGTGGCAGCCATCTTGTCAGCCCTTCAGGAGAGGAATTATGCCTTCATGTTTGTACAGAGCTACCAGAAGCAAAATAACCCGATTTTTTTCAGTGACACTCCTGTGTAAAGCTAAAGAAACTTCTATTCAATAGTGGTTTAACAAAAAATGAATGTTTAATACTAAAGCAAAATGCTTATATTTTAAATCCATACTATAAGGAGATATGCAAGAAAGACCTTTACACTCCCTTGCAAGGAGCTGCTAAAGGATTTAGTCTCAAAATATTTTTTTTAAAATGATTAACAACAGTGTTCAGCCAAAAGGTTGCCTTGTTGTCCATCCTATTCATAATGTAACAGTCAAAAGTTTAGTTTAGTTAAGATGGCACTAGCAGGAGGAAAATAATTGCAATAAATGCTATATTCCTTATTTCAGTTTGTTGAATTACCTTATGAATTTTCAAATTCTTGGACTGAGCAAAATGACCAGTAACTTTTTTATTCATATTTTAACCTATACAACTGAGGATGCATTAACTTTGCAGTAGATAGTTCTGATGTTTAAAAGTCAGTCAATATCCATAAGTACAAGATGTTAAGTGCTGTAGGTTAGAAAAATAATCATCATCGAGAGAGAGTGTTGTAGCTACTGAACTACTGGTTAATATTCTTCAGACATCTTGCTGTAATGGTCGACCGTCCTGGGATTACCCCAATTCAGCACACTATAAAGACATGCAGATGAAATTCTTTTCTCTGATTCTGACTTCCGCCGAAGGATGAAATTGAACGATGGCAAAGTGACAAGCTCTCTATAGCGGTACTGAGGGACTAGCACCACAGCAAGCCAACTGTAAAGGACCTAGATTTGCAATTTACAATGCATGACAAGAGTCCTGCACCCAGACTTTTTAGGACTCTGTATGAATGCAGGGGTCTCCCACGCACTTTAAAGTGCAAATCTAGTGCCTCATTTATTAAAAATGAAATTGCATTTAATAAATTTGACACTGGTTTTAAAAAAAGTTAATACATTTTAAAATTCTACCTTGAATAAAATATCTCCCCAAAGCTGAATTAGTGAGAGTAGTTTAAGATTATTTGAAACAGTGTTATCTATAAAGCAGTACAATATTTTCCCAAAATGATCAGTGAAACATTTAATCTGACTATAACAATATTCACAGAAACTGAAAACATTGAAGCTGTCAAATATAAAGAAAAACACAGAAACTTGCATGGCATATGAAGCAAAATAGCTTTACAAAATGTCATTTCTTTTTAAAAACAAGCAAATTGGGACCATCCTTTTTGAACATCTATTCAAAATACATTTTTGAACAGCACATCGTTTGCATTTTTGTCACACAGGAATCTTTTCCCGAGAGAAATAAATAGCACACAATACTTCAGAAATTCTGCTGCCTTGCCCCTGAGGTGCTAATGTTTTTAGCATTAAAAAAAGTTTAACTGGTGCAAAAAGGAAATGCACAAAGGTGCAAAAGTGCCTTTTTAAGATTTTTTTTTTTTTTTTTGAAGATTCATGAAAAGACCAGCTACTCCTTTGCAAGATGTTTTTATGTACTTAATACATGTACTTTGTAATCAAAATCTGTACCTAGAATGGCAGTGTTTATGCACATATAATAGATTCAGTGCTCTGACCACACAAAAGTGCTGAACATAAGGCAGAAAAAGAAAGGATTGCAATAGACATTCCTCCTTTACCTCCAAACCTAGTTACAGCACTGGTAGCAATAGCAGAAGAATTATGTTCTCTATATTTTTAGGAAGGGCCACTCATATGAAAATGCTTTTAGTACACAGTATGTCATTATGACACATTTTAAGTGATTATATTTGAAGTATGGCTTTCTACCACAATTTTGCTTGTGATTTTTAAAGATTTTAGGTCTCAAAGTTTCCACAGTCCAGTTCAAGGTTTTGCAGTTTCCAGAACTAAACTTTAGGCTATGTAGAAAAGTAAAGAACAGAACTTTATCTGCCTAATCCTAAAAATAAGTTTAGCTTTCTGTACTAGTATACTTTGTAGTATTAAATACATTTGTTAACTAGGTGCTTGCGAAGCTATAACTTATGACATTATTATAGTTTTGCACTCTACAACAAAATTAGACATTTTAAGCATTTATTTGTAGGTAGGTAAGGAATTGGTTCTTTAACCAAAAATTGCTATAAATTTATAAATACAAATAGTGCTTATGGTTTCTTCATTCATGCTTGAACAGATTACAAACTGAATACAATGAAGTTACGTTTGTTTAAGCACCCCACATAAACAAGAGGGATAAAAGAAAGATTTTGCTGGTATATACTATACTTAATTCTGAGACACTATAAGTTACTTTTTCACTGTTCAAAGTTCCCTAACTCTGCATTAGTTTTAAGGCTATATATACAAATATGTATATTTCAAAGTTAGGGAAAAGACAAATATAGCAAAACGCATTGTACTACATTTTCCTATCAAAAAGTAATTTTACACCAAGTTTTGATTTTTTGTTTAGTTGTGGTAAGTGTTACAAGCTACTTATATTTTACTGATTTTCCTTTTGGGGACTCTGCCTACTGAATGATTAAAGTAAACTAAATATTAACAACACACACAATATCCTCAACCTAAGACGACAAGAATACAAGGTGCACAAAACAGTAGTTTTGCAAACACGACTGATTTGAAAACTTACTTTTTGTATGTTCAATGGGAGAAAGTTAAGCTTAAATCAATTTAGTTTATGTTTATTACCCTTATAAATTTTTAATTTAGAATTTAATTTTAATGACCAACAGTTACATATTGTCAACATGCTATATTTCAAATCACAAATACTGTTTAACCACTAGTTTCTCATTCTAAATAAGTGGGTCAATTAAAAACACATGCCATAAAATGTTAAGATTGTCAGGCTTTGACAAATGTATTTTCATTAAACAGTAGGCAAATTCAAACTGATACTCATCTTAGTGAAAAACAAAAAGCCTGAAATAAATCCATGTAAAATAGAGTAACAGATTAAACCCACTACATGTTCCAGTGTCTGTCTATGCCTTGGGCAACAGTCAAAGTTTTCCCCATTTTAAAAATGGGCTACCAATTATTAAAAATATTTTTTCACATGTGAAATCTCATTTACAATGGCACAGAATTTCAAAAGGCAGGAAAAAAAAGAGGAATTACACATATAAGATTAAGTGTCTTGTTTGTTAAATCAAGCTTTATTGATAAAATGGAATTCAGAATATTTTACTTGGAACAGCAGCAGACTCAGCCAATCAGAATAGTAAAAATGCTGCAGACTCCTACTGTATGTAGAAAGTTGCTCCCTCTTGCTCAACTGATTAGTAATTTTGGGTAAGGGTTTGTAAAAAAGAGGTGCAAAGAATCAAGGCATTCTAACCTCAAAATTCATATACTTATGATTGATCTGTATTATACAGCACGATCCTGCTTCCACTGAAGTCACAGCCGAAACCCTCATTGATTTAAAGTGGGAGCAGGACTGGGACCATAGTAAATAGCAATAGAAAACACAAAAAGATAGGTTTGTTGGAGAACGAGCAGTATGTTAGTTATTTTTCCCCACTGCCAGGCAAATTCATATACTACAGTTGGGATAAATTGTCCGAATGTTCATCTTTATATATAAAATAAAAAGTAATCTTACAGTTTTGTGCACCTCTTGAGCATCTAGCTGGCTAGGCTGCTGCTCCTTGCAATCCAAAACCACAACATAAATTTAAAGGGCTATATATTTGTTGCATCACACAACAAGCCAAACATTTCTTCTAACCTTTATAGTGATTTAAAGCAATTCATAATTAAATATGAGCATTTTGTACAAGGACAATTGCACTTTACAAAAACAAAATCATACAACATAAATTGCTGGAGTCTGATTTACAACATGAATTATGGTTTGAAATCACGTTTACAGAAGTCTGTTTTACAAAAAAAAACATCAGTTCCTGGGCTAGATGTCGTACTGCTGTAGTTTTCTGGTGTAGTCACTCTCACCAACACATCATAATCCCTTCTTTAAATAAGGTTGAGGATGGACGTTAAGAAGGGTCACTGAGGTTGGGCTGCACTTTCAACTGGAGGATGAATGTAAACTCCACAGCTAGATGGGCAGTTTTACCACATATCATCAGTTGACGCAGAGTCCTTAATAGAGAAAAAAGAAGGAACCCTTTAAAGTCTGGAGTGCCCAAAATTACAGCAGTTTCTGGATAATCCAGACTGAAAAGGGTAAAAATATGGATAATTGTAGGAGTCTTTCCCTTTTAATGAAGGGTTTCATACTAGATACTTGTAAAACACTATTCCTAACAACATGCAAAAATCTACATTCATTAAACTATTTTAATTCAGTAAATATTAGCTAGCACTAAAGCAGTTTTTTAACCCCTGGTCTAAAGTGTAATATACTTTAATGTTTTCTAAATGTTTAAAGCTGCTCAAAATAATTGTTAACTTCAAAACCAGCACATTCAAAAACATTACCAGCATAACCTAAAATGTACAGTACACTAAATGTATCTATTTGGACAATTTCTTGTAGGTGTGCTAAGTTCACAGGGAGCATATTTCCTGTTATTCTTAATTATGTTCTACCTACTCTGACTGCCTTCTCAACTAGGGTAGCCAACTTTCTAATCACACAAAACTGAACACCCTTGCCCCGAGGCCCCACCCCTCACTCCATCCCCCCCACCCTCACTCACTTTCACTGGGCTGGGGCAGGGGTGTGGGAGGGGGTGAGGGCTTTGGCTGGGGCTACAGGCTTTAGGGTGGGGCCAGAAATGAGGGGTTCAGGTGCAGGAGTGGGCTCTAGGCTGGGGCAGGGGAGCAGGAGAGGTGCGAGCTCCAAGCTGGGGCCTGGGATGAAGGGTTTAGGGTGCAGAAGGGAGCTTCAGACTGGGGCAAAGGGGTTTGGAGTGTGGGAGCAGGCTCTGGGCTGGGATAGGAGGTTGGGGTGTTGGAGGGGGTGCAGGCTCTGGGGTGAGGCCAGGGATGAGGAGGGGTTTGGAGTGTAGGAGTGAGCTTTGGGCTGGGGCAGGGGGTTGGGGTGTGGGAGGGGGGTTGGATGCGGGAGGGGGCTCAGGGCTGGGGTTGGGGTGTGGGTGGGGGTTCAGGCTCCAGCCGGGTGGCGCTTACCCCAGGCGGCTCCCAGTCAGAGATGCAGCAGGGCTAAGGCAGGCTCCCTGAAACTCCTGGAAGCAGCCAGCATGTCCAGCTCCCAGGCACAAGGGCAGGGACAGCGTGCAGAGATTCCCTGGTCACACCTGCACCTAGGGGCTGCAGGGACATTCTGGCTGTTTCCAGGAGCCGCACGGAGCCAGGGCAGGCAAGGAGCCTGCCTTAGCCCCACTGCAGTGCCAATCGGACTTTTAGCGGTGCTGACCGGAGCCACCAGGGTCCCTTTTCGACCAGGCGTTCCAGTCGAAAACCAGATGCCTGGCAACCCTATTCTCAACCCTCTTGCTGTAAGGAAGGCTTAGAATCTAAGTCACATCATAAGTAATTTATTGAGAGTTAAGATTAAATTTAAAAGAAATTTAAACATGTTAAGATATGGAAAATATACAGGGCACCAAAAGCAACCTAAATTCTTCTCTTGTAATGATACAAGGGGGAAAATATTGCAAAAACTGTTAAAAAGCAGTATAATCTGGAACCATGAACCCTAAAATGGCCATATGGTATCACTACAGGGAAGAGTTAAGGTTGTATGGGTATCTTAATTGTACATTTCTATACTTTAATATGTTTAGGTTTGTTTTAAGTGTAGCCTTCACTCTGAATGATCTGAATTTGCAATACTTGGTTCTTGGATAATTACAACATCCCTGTAACACTTTTACCTTCAAGTTATTAAACTATTAGCCTTAACTCCATTTTAACATAGTTTTGTGTGTCTTGGAATGTCCTTATATAAGTTATGCTCTATTCCTCTTTCCCTCCTCATACTTTTTTCATCCTCTTTCCCTTCTGCACAAAGAATTTAACAGAAAAAAGTTGAATGAGGAATACTGGACTGCCCATCAGTTTTACTGATCAGAAGTTGTTAGCAAGATTGTGTTTACACAGTCAGAGGCATCACTTTAAGAGGAAAGAGGCTGCTGTTTAGAGTATGTCTGAGCAATGCCATCTCTCGCTACTTTAGATTGGTGGAGCTGATGTAGAGCCCTGTACTCCTTATTCAGCTGTTAAGTAGAATTTAATAGGATTAATAGGATTTTCTCTCTTTGCAGGACCTGAGAGAGAAGATTAGTCATGAGAATTAAAATGAATTATTCACTTTTTAAAAATTATGATTTCTAAGAGTAATGTCTAAGCCTTCCTTTGGGACTACAAGTAGTAGAAAGCAGAAGTTAGAAAGGACTAGGATAGGCAGAGTGAGAATCTGATGTGGCCATGTTTGTCAGAGAACATGGATAAAGAATTAAGTCAGCACCAAGTCAAAGTGCAGAAATTTACTTACTGACTACATACTCTGCAAATTTCTGTACTAGGACTACCAATGACACTTAGATTTGCATACTGTACATTTGCAGAAGAGTTATACAATGAATGACTGCATATCATCCCCATGCAGGGATAACTCCATTTCAGTTATAGATCTGGATCAATTTCTTAGATGTGGGAGGAGACAAGAATAGAAAAGGCTCACTGTAAACTTTAGCAAATAAAGTTTAAGACCAACTGTACAGCTTCTGTTATGCCAAAACATTTGCAAACTGCATTTCACTTATGTAATTTTTTGTTAATTAAAAAAATCATATTAATGGTATTAGTTGCCAGAGACATTAAAAAGTAACTGCTTTCTTTCTGAGACAAAGTACTCCCAAGAATTTAAAGCTAAATTCAGTTGTAAATGGAGTTACTGTTCCCATTTTAAAATTGTTTTTATTGCATGTTCACTGTGAAAAATATATTAGGGAAGTTACAGCATAATATAATCCAATGATCAGAAAATTATGATAACTGAACTAGAATTGTAAATATGCTAATCATAGCAACTATTAAACTATTAAGCATCCAGCAGAAAGTTACAAAAAGAACACTTTTGCCTGTAATTCGGGGAATTAAAATTTCACAAATTGATACCTTAATAAAAAATATTTTAACACAGATTTCCCATTATCTCTGTGGTATTAGGGATGAACCAAATAAAATTAGATATCTCAAAACAAGACCATATCTGCTACTAGTGGTGGGATCTGGCACCAGATGTGTGGAAATGAAGAGACAGAATACAATCAGACTTTCAAGTCTTGAACTGGTAGAGGATAACAACAAATGAGAGTTCTGAAGGTTCAGATGAGGGAAAGGGCAGAAGAGAACTCACAGGGCACAGTCTACAGAACGCACTTTTGGAAAAAATCCCTCCCCCTTCAAAGAGTTGTGGTAGGGTCTGCACAAACAAGCTGAAAGATTTCAAAGGGTAGGACGGAAATGATGGGAGAATGAAAGTACTTACAGCATCATCATTTCTATAGGGGTTCAGTCTGTTATAAACAGCTTCAATCACACTCCGTCTAAACCAAAGCAGAAAACAAAATGTTAAGGATTTTTTTAAATGAAGTCACATATTTCCTAAATGCAGGCATGACGTACTAAAACGCAAAACTTTAAAAATGGTAAAACGATTCAAAATGTATAGAACTTAAGTTTTTTTGCAAGTAAAGCTATGTTTCCATATAATTTATGCAGTGCTCTCTTTTGGATTCAGGAAGAGACAGTTTAAAAAGGTAAACACTCCTAAGGGTTTTGCCAACAAAATGGAAAATTACATATTTGCATATGAGACTTTTCAATTAGACTGTCTGCTCCTGATATACTGTCAGGGGCATGCCCACCTTTTGTCTTCAAAGTAATAAGACAAGGAGGTTACAGAGTGATGAGCAGCATAAACAATATGCATTTGTGTGCTTGTGGGATATGGTGGCAGTAAATAATACACCACTGATGTACAAAGATAATATTTTTCACAAGAGAGCACTATATTTGTATTTTCTGAATACAATTTTTTGTGCGCCCCTTAATGAAAACTCTGCATTCTTAGTTTGGTTTAAGTTAGTTTCCATTATAAATCTTGTTAGGTTTTTTTTTTTTTTTTTTAATAGAGCAGTAGCAGCAGCAGCTTCCCATTGCATGCCCAATTTTCAATTCCCTTTTACAATTATCCTTCAAAAGAAACCAATTTTAACTTAAAACAGAAATTTTGTATAGCAGCTCTCACCCTGTAACAGATATATTCCTGGGGAATTTGGTAAAAATCAGCAAATGAGTTTATAGTGTGTTGAAATCTACCTTTTGCTCACATCTGAACTTTAAATTTTTGTAATGTCTCACAAAACAGCTTGGCTTTGGTACTCCTCCCCTCCCCATTTTTGTGCCTTGCTGATTGCACTTTGGGGGTGGATGCAGAGTAGAGGGTTAATTACAAAGCTATATAATAAAACATAAAAATAGCTTGTGATCCCTGCTTACCTAACTGTAAGGAAAGAGATTAACAAGGGGTTCGTTAGAGCAACAATACTAAAAAACAGTGGAATGCTAAGCGAAAGAAGAAGTACTTGCCTTCCTCAGCAAGCATGATATAACTAGGAAAATGAAGGTCTAATACAAGTAAGAGATTTTAAAGACTTTTTTCCTGGATGACAGGAGTTTTTTTTGCGGGGGAGGGGGGAATGGGGGACAAAGCTGAAGAATGCCTCAGTTCTTACTCTGTACAATAGGGTCAGATGGAGAAGTGCTCTGCTCATATCTTCATGCCTTAAAGTGGCAGAATGTAGCCCTTCCCCTTGTCTTTCTGTTAGTCATGATTGCAGACTGGGCTACACTCAGAATGAGCTATTTTAATTTTTTTCAATACTTATAAATATAAACTGACCTATTACAGACTCCAGGCATATGTTCAGGGATAGCGTAAGAAATACAGGAAAACATAAAGGGGTCAGTATCCTGGAGGGGCCATGTTGGTAGCATGCTAGCAAGGTTGTGGGTTGGTGTATCTAGTTTTGGAATGAGGGACTTTGGGTGAGGAATAAGCAGGGAGGATCCATGATAGGCAGAGAACAGCAAAGGGGACAAGGGAACAAGGAAGATCCTAATCAGCACATCCACTTCCAAGAATCACCTAGTAACTTGAGGACAGCATAAACAAGGTAGGGATTGATTATAAGGCCATGGGTAACAATCTGGATCTATTACCTGCTCATTTCCAGACATCCCATTGTCTAGAATTCCAAAAAGTGTACAATTTTTGAAGAGAAAGTTGTACTGTTTTAGGGTATTTTTGGACTCCACTGAAAAAATTTCAGCTTTAGCTTTTTAAACTAAACTTTTTGCTTCTAATTTTAATAAATTAACTTCAGCATGATAAAAACGTCCCAATAATAATGCTGTCTCTGTGAAAAGATTCTCAAAGACGAAGCAGCTAGCTATGCAATCATGTCAAACCTGAAATTTAATCAGTAAAATACTCTAAATTACTCATTCAAAGAAAAAAAAAGTGTATTATAATTAAAATAATTGAGAAAATTATTTCCTTTAACAGAGCATGGCAGTACAACAAATCAAACACCACCCAGGACTTTTTCAGAACCCCATCATTTTGACATCTAGTCAATTTTTATAAAAGATTTATAAGTAGTTTCAGGTACTACCACTGTCCTCGATTTCCCTTGAAAAATGTGTGGGTTTACCATAACATTTCTCTCTCTTTTTTAAAAAAGTCTTTCCCTTCCCTGACCCCCTTACTGTTTGAAAAGTCCTAGATAAACAAGGGAAACAGCAAAACTGAGCATCAGAAAGTGATATTCCATGTACAAACTGAAAAACAGACCTCTCTCTAATCTTTTAGACATAATTATCTCAGGTGTTACAAGTAGACAATTTTTAGATAAATGTGATTTTCAAATCAACAGCATCCTTTTGAGTTACATTAAGGCCCAGTTCAGTAACTTAATTAAGCACACATTTAAAAGTTAAAGGTTTCAGAGGGGTAGCTGTGTTAGTCTGTATCAGCAAAAACGACAAGGAGTCCTTGTGGCACCTGAGAAACTAGCAAATTTATTTGGGCATAATTTGGATCCAAATTTATTTGGATGTCTGATTTGTGTCCATTTATTCTTTTGTGTAGAGACAGTCTGGTTTGGCCAATGCACATGGCAGAGGGGCATTGCTGGCACATATATCACATTGGTAGATGTGCAGGTGAACGAGCCCCTGGTGGTGTGGCTGATGTGGTTAGGTCCTATGATGGTGTCCCTTGAATAGATATGCAGACAGAGTTGGCAACGGGGTTTGTTGCCGGATTGGTTCCTGGGTCAGACATCAAGAACTGTAACATTCAAAAACCAGTAGGAGAGCACTTCAATCTCCCTGCACTCAATAACAGACTTAAAGTGGCCACTCTTCAACAAAAAAACCTTCAAAGAGAAACTACAGAGCTGGAATTTATTTGCAAACTTGACACCATCAAATTAGGTCTGAATAAAGACTGGGAGCGGCTGGGTCACTACAAAAAGTAATTTTCCCTCTGTTGATACTCACACCTTCTTGTCAACTGTTGGGAATGGGCCACATCCACCCTAATTGAATTGGCCTTGTTAGCACTGAACCCAACTTGGTAAGACAACTCCCGTCTTTTCATGTGCTGTATACTCATACCTGTCTACTGTATTTTTCACTCCATGCGTTTGATGAAGTGGGTTATAGCCCATAAAAGCTTATGCCCAAATAAATTTATTAGTCTCTAAGGTGCCACAAGGACTCCTCATTGTTTTTATTTAAAAGTTAAAAACATTCTTAAATCCCCATTGACTTCCCTGCGATTTGAGCAGACTCTTTAAGTGCTGTCCCTGAACAGGGAATGGTTTCTTGAATCTGGTCCTAAGCTGCTATTGCATTTGTTCACTAACTAGCTAAATGCCTGCATCTCAGACTAAAAAAATCAGTGTATGCTCAGTTACACAGTTGATTTCAGGTATCGCAGATATTTCTTTAAAACAAAACCAATAAGCCATAACAATTGGTTTGCAAAATTATCACACACAAACACCCACGAGAGAATCCTGAAGTCAGAAACACCAACAGGGGATGGGAGTAAAAGTCAATTTTTAGTCTCAACACTGACAGTCTACCTTAAAATTAGCTGCAGTCTAGGTTATTTAAATCAACCAGGTAGTCCAATTGGGTAACATATACTGTGTCCTATAAACAGATTAATAACAAACAGAACAGATCTAACATCTCAGGGTTATGTAGCTCTGCTGCAACACAAATAACAGTCTCCCATGAAAAGGTGTTTGTTTTCACCACTTTCACTAGCACCATAAAAATACTCTTAAGCCAGGTGCAGCAGAAGAGACTTGCTCACAAACCCAACAGAAGGGGGGAAAAAACAAAAAAAACAGAGCTAGAAAGATGAGTCAAAAGAATGATATACATTCCAATTTAATGTTACAATATTTAGATTTGCCAAATGTATCAACAAGAACTCAGATTTATGATGCTTCAAAGAAAAATATATTCTAAAAATAGATACCATTTCGACATCTCATAATGCCTGGTCAGTTTTCTCTCTCTTTTTTTTAAAAAAAATACTGAAACATTAGCATGAAAACAAGGTTTTTGCTTCTTTAGAAGTTCATTTGCTCTGGAGTCTAGCTGTTTATTGCTCACTGAAAGTCATAACTGACATCACTAACAGAGATAATTTATTACAAAGACAACTAAAAGAAAGCTATCATGCTTAAGCAAACACCACACTATGAAAATGATAACATTTGAAATAGATGATTTATAATGTATTCATATTACATACATTTTAAATAGAAAAATATTGGTTTGTGAGCAATCTGTACTAAAATTGCTTGGTTTACTGGACAGAGGAGCTTGAGATTTGAATTCTTTGATGGTTTAATGCTAATGTATAAAATTAGTAAGTCTGTTTCAGACTATTTCTTCAAGACAACAATCAAAATGAATCGTATAAAGCTTTAAATTCTATCCCCCGCTTAGCCAGGGTGAAGCAGTAATTTCCTTTAAAGGGATAATTAGCTAAAGAGCTCATTTATAATTCTAGAAAAGAGATATAAATTTAACAAAAAAGCAAAAGCAAAGAAAGCTGCCAAGTGAAGCATTAAATGCACTGAGTAATCGCTGTTTGTTAACTAAGTACATAAACTACTTTTCAAAATGAGCCATTATATGCATTACATTTCCCTTACATCTTAAAAAGTAAAAGCAGTAAACATTTTAAAGCTACAATTAACAGAGGAGGCCACCCTTAAAAGCAGTCCATTCTTTCTGCAACTATAGTTTGACATTCACATATTTTTAATTTTAGAAACTATCATCCACAATCAACCACAGTCTTGTGCATGGATTTCTTTCCGAACTTAAAACAGATCAAAATGTGAAAGATATTAGTTGAGAATGGATGATGCCCTTTTGTCCCCATAAACCTTATTTCAAATTTATTTATTTTTTAAGAGTGGCCTTACAAAAAGTCTCTGTTAATTTAGACCAAAAGCACATTTACACTAACATAGACTCACTTGCTTGCCAATTCACCCCCTGGCGGGAGGTTTGGGATGCTCTCAGTTGCTAACGTACGCATCACGTGGACTAAGTCTGGTACTCCTTCACCCTGCTTCTTTATGATCTCTGGGAATCAGAAGTACTTTTTTTGTAAGTGCAGTCCAAATTTAACTTGAAAAGATTGAAACACTCAGTTTTATCAAAAAGCAGTTTAACATTTTAAAAGACAGCATTTACCATGTTGGACACTAATCTTTGGTGCCACAACAAAAAAGCCAGTGTACCTGTAAAAAGCTATTGTATATTTGACAAAAAAAAAATACCAACTATGATCTGTTCTTCACATAGTTCTATACTTCCAAAATTTTAATCATTTTGATTAGTATATCACATAACAAAGGGTATCTTAACAGGTAAACAAACTAGGTAGTTCTAAATAGGCTTCACTAGAACATAATTATTGTATTTTGCCAAAGAAACATCCTGTGAAAAAGCCGGGTTTAATGTCCATTTTTTTTTTTTTAATATATGAATGGATGTTAAAAGGTTATTGCCATGGTAGAAAATATAATATTTTGAAGAAACAAGAAGTTAAGTGTTTTGTTTAAAATATGCTTTATATAGTTATACCAGATTGCAGATTATTAACATAAAAACATTAAAAGTCATCACGCATAAACAGACAAGAGCCAAGAATGTCAGAGTTAAGATAGAACTCTGTCCTTAACTCAAAGGGATATTTCAACAGCAGGTGATTTTACATACAACAAACACAATCCACCTCTCATCAGGTAAGCAAGAGACTCTCTACAGTAGCCACAGCAAAGTGTGCTAAGAATAAAGTTACAGATAGCTACATTTCTTAAGCCTTATCTTCTGAAGTGTTGAACACCCACATCTGCAGCTGAATTTAAGTTAGTTATCACCTCTGGAGGGGGAGGGGAATCAGACTTCTTCCAGTTTTGTGAAATCCATTAAAATTTTTTTTACAAGGTAAATGAGAATTGTCTACTATCCCATGACATTTAAATGTATATACATTTCTCAATACACTAGAAACTCCTTCAAAGACATTATTTAAGAAGGATACTTTATCAATCAATCAGCTTGGAGTTGCTGATCTCCAAGTGGATGTCATGGCAAGTGTACAAAAATGCGCATGCACAGTTAAATATTCTTTATGTAGTAAAATCTTTCCAAAATTTATTTGAAAAAAGTAGTTTGAACACATGGAGAACCCACTTTCAATTTAAATATTTTTACAATTTATCTTTTTATCCCAATACTGAAAAAAAAAATCAAGATGTACGATATACCATTTTAAACTCATATTGGTGAGTTAATGTTACACTAAAGTATCTAAAACCAGTATACTTTCCTTTTAAATAAAAAAATAGTACAAATTCATGAACTGATTTGTGTGCACGGAACAGGTTTTCTGGGATGCAACCTTCCATGCAAAAAGGATTAGTCCAATTTGCCGCCAGATTCTATGCAAGTAATTGACACTGGAAACACTGGCATACCCTTACTTGCAGTAAAATAACCAAATGTCAAAATTTGCAGTACAAAGTATTAGCTATTTAGTTCTAGATTTTAAGTAGGAAAGAAATCCAACATGTGACACTACACATTAGGCAAACATCTCAAAACTCAAATGTCCCACTTTCTGAAGAACTATGGCCAAAATTCATATTTTACCGTCTAGCATTTAGTAAAGAGAATTCTAACACTCTTAAATCTGAATAAAAAGCAAAGATCTCAGATTTGGTTTGCCAAGTTCCTTTATTGTGTAATCTTCAACATCTAGTATATTCTACATCATTCTAAAGCTAAAGTTCTGCCGTACAAAAATAAAGGGATTTATAGTTTGCCTAAACTACACAGTTTCACAACCTAAAGCTGCAGTACATTTAACATACAGTCACCACTAAATGAATACATTTATACTCTGATAGAACTATAGATACAGTCTGAAATAACACTGATGACAACAAATGGAACCAATCCATTGCTTTTTTTTTAAAAATAATTATTAAATTATCTTTTGTTTCAATGCATCTTGCATCCCTTTCTCTGACCTAATTTAAACCTTCTAAATGTTTTCACCATTTAAGACAGTGGGGAAAAAATGTACTTACACTAAAAATAAAGAATTCAAAATGTATTTATTTCCAGTTTTAAATGGAAATTTCAGATAAAATTCTTAAAAATCTAACATTTCAGGTTTTGCTGAAAAATGGCCAGTTAATTTAAAACTATCAATTTCAATTAATTCCGTGGATTACATGCATCTAATAACCAGATCTGTTACTATATTAAGTATGTATATGATACAAAATGTGTTTTAAAGAATGAGTCAAAAACCTTAAGGAATGTTAATTTAAAAAAAAAAAGAAGTGAGTCAAACCAGCTCAGTAACTGGAGTAATAGTGCAACTAGAGTAACATCTGGGAATGACTGATTAATCTTTTCAGCCAGCAAGTCTTCAAAACCTTTTAGAAGCAACACTGATTTACTGGAAAGGGATTGCACAAAGATGTTTTGTCACTCTTACTTCACCTCCTGTTAGACATTTTCAGCTCTAAATGTGAGCCACAGAAGCGTCCAACATTGATGCAAGAATGTAGGTTAAAGGAGTGAAGGATAGTCAGGTGTAAGGGGGAGAGTAGAAACCTTCTTATATCAGCCAGGTTTTTTTATTCCCGTTTGTAGTTCAAGATGGCCATCAATACAGGGCCTTCTTTACAGCAGTAAGTACAACAAACTTTAATATGAAAACATTAAAATAAGATTTTACTGCACATTATGGGATGAAAAATGCTTTTATGTAATTGATCAACAAGAAAATTTATATTAAAATATAATCTAACCTCATTACTTGGACTATGTTTGCTGGTCAAACACCTATTTTGTTATATAACTGCTATGTACTGCAATGCTCATTCACAAAATTTCCATTTTATTGTATTTTAATTTTCTAAATTAGACATTACAGACTGGTAAAAACTACTTCAGAATTTCTTTACATTTACCAATTTCTTCAACTGAAATTGAAGCTTTTAAAATCTTAAAAACTGCATTATTACTAAGGCATTTCAAGATAACAGTAGTAAGATTATTCAGCACAGTGTTGAAAGTTTCAGCAATGGCCATATTAGTCCCACCTCAGTAGACAATACTGTATATTAAGTTTCCAGCATGAAACAATCTTATTTTAATTGCATAAATATGGTTAAGTTTAATGTAATAAAGTGACATTGTGGCTTGAGTTTACCTTTCTCACATTAAGTCCCAAAAATTTCACTCATGCGAGTGAGGACTGTAAGTTCTGAAACTATGTTATGTTATAAACTGCTATCTGGTTGCATTTTTTGCTTATAATAAAAAGTGTAAATACTATTTCTGTGTGCATTATCAAAGGGAAAAGATGTTTAAGTCCAAGGAAAATAACTTTAAAACAAAGTGTGGACTCTATAGCAGCAATATATTTTTCTAAATGTGTCCACCGAATTCGGATTAAAGTGCTTTATATCATGTAAATTTTCCCCATTCACACAGACAAAAACGAAGTTTCACTTGTCCCTGAAATATGTTATTTCTAAAAATGCAAGAAACTCAGCAACCAAACAAATGCATTGTTCCCTACAGCATAACCTTATGCAGTTCTAATACTTAGGATCTTCATTCAGCAATATCTGGACGTGATGTTCCCATTTCATCTACAGTAATACACACAGGCCAATGGGATCAGTTAATGGAGATGCAACCTTAACTTACTTTGGCCTTAGAGTTAAGTCAAATCTCCAATCTCCAAGATTTTTGTTAACAGTTAAAAGGGAAAAAAGTTCATGGGGCATTTATATAATTCATCAGTCACTGATCTGACAAACCCTAAGAGCTGTGTATATCACGCCAATGTATGCTATTAGGGACTCTTACCCTAGATATTAACAACATGATACATTCATAATAACTGATTAATTAAAATCTATATCCTCAATATGTTTCCATTTGAAAAATGTTAATTTCACCTATATACTAAACTGCATGTGTAGAGTAAGTGTTTCAGATATTTAGGAAATTTAATATTTAGGAGATCTGAGCACACCAGTGGCAGCTGCTTCTTAAACCCCAATCTCTGCTTCAGTTTTTAATACCCAAAGGCACTACAGTCCAGATTACAAAATTATTAAATTATGGTTTAAATCAACACATTTCTAGGTATATGGCACAAAGTGCCTGAAACAACAGTTCCTTCTCTTTCCCTTTTAAAATATAAAAAACACAAATGAAAATAAAATTTGCTTTTAAAAAGGTTACTGGCAGGATTGTACATTATATGCCCAGCTTCAGTTCAGTATGAATGTTTAAGGTTTAGCTATAACACAAATGTTGATAGGCTTTTACTCTTAAATATAATCATATTAGCAAGTGCTATTATGTTAACAGTAACATTGCTGTGGCCCTTAAATTATCATACAATATACTTATTAGGGCCATGTAATTGTACATAGCTTTACAGAAAAATGGCACTCAAATTACCATCTTCAAAAATATGCTGCCAGATTTCATTCAAATGCACATGCCAGGAATCAGAATTTACTGGCCTGAAGTTAGTGATGCCAATGGACTCATCAAGAACTTTGAGCACAAGTAGATTACTTTCCTCTGCCATCCTAAATAGAATCTCCAGGGCCATAAGCTTCTGCGGTTTCTGTTTCAGTAGCATTTTGTCATGACATACAGCATACATCCAACGGAATATAGGAGTGCCTTTTTCAGAGATGTATATGCAGGCTACATCTACACCTGGAGCTAGAGGTGTGATTCCCAACTCATGTAGAGACACTCTTGTAAGCTCCAAAAATAGTAATGTTGCCACAATGGCAAGGGCAGCAGTGAGCAGCAGCAAAGGCTATCCGTCCTGCCTGTATATCTCAGGGTCCAGGAGCATTTGTAGTCGACGTACCTAGCCTGTGCCACTGTCCAAAGCAGCCCACGCTACCACGGCTACGCTACTATTTTTAGAGCGCTAGCTCAATGAGATCTAGTAGGAGTATGTCTATGCAAGCTAGAAATCACACCTCCTAGCTCCAAGTGCAGACAGCCTAAATGTCCAACGGCACTTAAAGGTTTAATAAAAAAAAACCCTACAGGTGTTAGAGTTTAGTTGTTTGGGGGATTGTTTAGAAACAAAGCTACTTATTTTTTTTTAAATGATCCACCTTCTACTCTGCTTTCCAGGTACTTGTCCAACTCTGCCTCTCTCTTCACCGCCTCTGGCAATACCTTTGGTGCACTTGGAAAACAGATCAAAATCACACTCATGTTGTCTCGACTTCCCTGGTAGTGGAAAAAAACAAAAACAGATGAGACAATATCCTGTATCCAGTGAGTAATACACACTGATTTTATCCCAAGGCCATATCAAAGCAGTTTATAAAATTATTTAAAATTAAAATAAAAAATAAAATTTTAAGTAAAATATTTTGCTCATCACGTGAAATTAGAATACTTTTCTTCCATCATACCATTAAATAAAAAATGGTATCATTTACAAATAACTGTTCAAGAAGTCTGCATGTTGAGTATCATTCAGTACAAACAGGCTTTTAAATTTACTTTGTTAACTTTTTTCTTCATGATTGATGTTTACAATGAGCCTACAAGTTGATGACTCCCGTCTTGCTGAATGCTGAAATTATTTGCAAAACTAACATGGGAGATTTATTACTGAGATTTATAAAACTTGTTTCCATCCTGCTTAAATATTAATATTGTTTGGAGGGAAAGATTACATTAGCTGTAGAAATATTAAATGCTTAAATAGGAATATTTAAGGTATCTGAAGCCAGTTATAAAGCAAATCAAAAAACCCAACTTAGACACCTAAAAATATTGCTAGCGTCAAATGTGCATTTTTCATAAACAGTTCCCCACAGTAGGCCTAAGGGCCAGTCATTAAGAGGAAGTAGTGTTTGTGACATACACATTTTCATTTGCACATAGAAATATTTCTCACTATGTAAACTTTTAGAACGCAAGTGAGCAAAATAAGCACAACTTTAATAAAATACTTGAATGCAGTACTGTACAACCATGCTTTGCAGAAAAAAGTACTAAATATTGATTCAAATGATTTTCCAACTGTTAAGGGCCCTATTCCGCAAACACTTACATAGATGCTGAACTTTAAATACAAGTAGTCCTATTGAAGCCAATGAGACTACTCATGTAAATAATGGTAAGCACGGATGCAAGTATTTGCAAGATTGGTGCCTAAACCAATCAGTATTGTCCTGTGGTATTTACATTTCCCGTACTAGCGCAGCTGAAATTATAAATGAAAAACTGGCAGTGAATGCAGTTTAACTTTTTAAAATGATAGAAAACTATTTATGCAATGTTGTTGTAGCTACGTTTGTCCCAGGATATTAGAGAGACGAGGTGGGTGAGGTAATATCTTTTATTGGACCAACTTCTGTTGGTGACAGATACCAGAGTTCTGTGGAGCTTGTCTTCCGATATCTCTCACCAACAGAAGTTGGTCCAATAAAAGATATTACCTCACCCACCTTGTCTCTAGAAAACTATTACATAGTTAACGGGGTCATTGTTTCACACCTCTTTAGAGATATGGTGCCAATACTAACAATGCGATCCTGCCTTTATTTACAGCTTGCATATCAAAGCTCAGTATTATAAATAGGATTAAATGCTTGTCTAGGGAAAGTTAAAACAAACTATGAAATTTTAACAATGTTCAGTCTGTCCTATTAAGCAACAGAACAACCTTTCATTTTGTTTATAGAAACATACAAATTCGGACTCATTGCATAAAAAAACAATCACAAAATCTGTATTTATTAAGTAAAAATTGTGCCTGTCTTCTTGAGCAGATGTAATTAGTTGGACTCTTGGACAGCTAAAAGCTATATGTAATAATCTGTAAGTAACTGTACAAGAAAAGATTTTTTTATGCAGATGTAAAATTATATAAGGAACAATTTAAAAAAAATCAGATCAAAGATTTCAGTAGTTAATTGAAGTTCTTAATTTTAGAAACCAAAGTTCAGTCATTTTGTATGGTTTTGGCATGATTCAGGCAGAAATGCTACGTTTCCCCAGTGACAGAAGAGGAAAAAATAAATTGTTTGTTGCCTTTATTTACTTCTTTGGAAGGTATAAAAGCTGCTTATATATTTTTTCCATTTCCTTTCTTTAATCTTAGAAATAGATCATTTTTCCTCAGCTACTAAATTTTCCACTCATGCCAATACCACCAATTCTCAAGTAATTCAGTCTCTATATGAAACGTGATATAAGACCTGATATTTCTATCAAATGTTTTAAAATCCATTTTTATTGCATTGTGAAGCAGCAAAAAGGTCACTGTTATTTCCATTGGTCATTTTTAAAAGTGCTAACTAGCTTGCCATAGAGCGCAACATATCTTTACATGATTTAAAAACTTCTAAACAAATAAGGCGAGCCATTATTGAAGTCCACGTGCCCTTACTATTTGCTGCTCCTAGTTATATCCCCAATGGCATTCTAGTAAGTGGCTCAACAGTGGAATGATTGTATCATATAGTTATTGTTACAAAATTGTACAGAAACTAAACTTCAGCTACTCTATAGATCTGAATTGAAATTTATTTTCATCTTGTTGACAATAGAAAAACTCCTACTACTTTACTGAAAACATAATAGGTTTCTCCTCTTAAAGTTCTGACTACCTTGTACAAGCAGGTGTCGACTATCTCATTGCAAACTTTCTCAAGGTCATCAGTGACTTCGAGTCTGGATCTTACAAAGTCACAGAGCTCTTCATTTCCCATAACATCCCAGATACCATCACAAGCCAGTATGATAAACTGATCATCTTCTTCTGATCTCTCAATTTCGTAAACTTCAGGCTCAGGTGAGACAAGCTGCTCTGTAGGGCCTTTCCCATGGACACATTTGTAATCAAAGTCCCCAAGAGCTCTAGACACAGCAAGAGAGCCATTCACACGTTGAATCATTACAGAACCACCTGCATTCTGTATACGCTCTTTCTCCAGTGGATTACTTGGTTTGTGATCTTGTGTGAAGAAGTGAACCTTCCTGTTTCTACAAAGTAAACCTCTTGAGTCTCCACAGTTGATGAAGTAAGTGTGTTGAGGAGAAATCATGACACCCACCGCTGTTGACCCGCTTCTATCTGCACCATGTTTCTTCTCAGAGATTACTCTCATATGTTCATCAATTTGCAGAAAACCTGTTCTGATTCCATTCTTTACACTTTCCACAGAGGGTGGTCCATCGGACCCTTTAAAATCCTGGTTGCTTGTGATGTGATCTAATAAATGCTCACAGCAGTATTTGGCAACCTGGGATCCAGCATGCCCATCATATACAGCAAAAAATGACCATCCATCAAGTCCATTTGGCAAACCAATAACAGCTGTATGTGCATCCTCCATCTCAACTCGCCAACCTTGCATACTACTTAGCCCATAACGTAGCCCATTACCCTGCCCTTGGGCATTATGCTTCTCCATCTTTGGCTTGTCTAAAAACGCTCCCATGATGACTTGTTCCTTCAGTTCTAAGGAAAAAAGAATATTATTGTTAAGCTATTTCTACAAAACAAAACCATTTAAACATGTTACTAGAAACTATTAAATACAGAAAATGTTACTTAAATAATATTAAGGTAAGACAAATGAAGATGGGAAGTTAAAATTTATGGCTGACTTTTGGTCCTTAACTCAATATTTTACATAATAATGAGTTAACTAAAATGTCAGCCTTAACTCTGAACTGCCTTGTTTTGCTTTTGTTGATTTAAGTAAGGACCTCACTACTAATTGAGTGTACTCTGTATGTTTTTGTAAATATTTAAGCTGTAACCATGCATGAAGAAGGTTTACACTAGTTTAGTGTCTGTGGTTTTCATCAAAACACTTGTAGTGAAAATAAGTACAACAAAAACCACCATTCAAACTATTTTAACTAGCATAGACATCTTAGACTTGGTTATTTTTTTTTTTTTTACAGAAACTAACTTCTCAGATGTCTATTTTGTGGTCCAGATGTGTTTAAAACCTCAAACGTTCTGTGTGCTTATAATTCAAGGAGGAAAAACTACCTTTGACATGTTTGCAGAAATCTGTTTGGAAATAAAATTACAAGTATTAGAAATTCACATTTCATATACACAGTAAGCAAATATTTTAATATTTTCTTTATTCACTCTTCTGTGGGTGCAGAGAACAAAGCACATATTTGTACCCAAGAAACACTACTACGCTTTTAAATAGTGTAAATCGACTAGTCTATTTTGACTGCTCTGTACAGTAACTCCTCACTTAGTCGTCCTGCTGCTGGTCAATTAGGGAACATGCTTGTTTAAAGTTGTGCAATGCTTCCTTATAACGTTGTTTGGCAGCTGCCTGCTTTGTCCACTGCTTGCAGGAAGAGCAGCCTGTTGCAGCTAGCTGGGGAGAGGATGGGGGAGCATGGAACCAGGGTGGGCCAGCAACCCCCCATCAGCTCCCTGCTCCCCGTGCAGCAGCCGCCCAGAAGACTATCAATTGCCGGCAGTTCAGCTGTCCCTCCCCCCACTGCCATGTGCTGCTCCTGCCCTCTACCTTGGAGCTGCTCCCTGGAGCCTCCTGCTTGGTGTGCAGGGAAGGGGGGAAGGGGACTAATGTCAGGGTGTCCCTCCTCCCCCGTGCTCCTGCTCACCCCATCTCCATAGAGCAGGGGGGACACAGGACAGGGCTTAGGAGGGAAGGAGCTTGCTGGCCACAGCTGCTCTCTCAACTTCCTGATATATTTAAAAAGGTAATGTACTCAGAGTGGGGTCAGCATACTTAAAGGGACAATGTGCATCTCTCACACACACAAACTGTGTGTGTCTGTCTCTGCCATGCCGTCTCCCCTCCCTCCATTCCTGCTGCCTTGTAGAGTGTGAGGCTACATTAACAACGAGTTAACCCTTGAGGCTCAGCCGAGTGCTAGTTCATCATTTAGCAGTAAGACATTCCCTGAGAAATATCCCACCCTCTAACTTCACCACCTCGACCAAGCTTCACAATCGTCATTGCTGTGTACAGTATTAAATTGTTTGTTTAAAACTTATATTGTGCGTGTGCTAGTTTTTTGTCTGGTGAAAAAAATTTCCCTGGAATCTACCCCCCACCCCCCATTTACATTAATTCTTATGGGGAAATTGGATTTGTTTAACATTGTTTCACTTAAAGTCGCATTTTTCAGGAACATAACTACAATATTAATTGAGAATTACTGTACTCTCACACCCTAGCCATTCATCTTGCCCTTTTAATCCCTACCAGTTTAATTACATAGTCATTAAATCACTCAAATCAGCTCAAATTTTGCATGCTCAGAAGTTTTGCATCATTTGGACTGTGCAACCTGTCGTGATGCAACACAAGATAAAGAAAAGCTGGCAAAGTCCTATTCCATCTGATGATTGATAGGCTACGCATAAAATTGACCAGGAAAGAGTCCTCAACTTCAGTGTGCCACAGGCCCAAATGAGGCTGTTATGGTGGCAGAACATTTCACTTATATGTGTTGTTTTCAAGGGGTAAACATGCATATAAAGAAAAGGAGGACTTGTGGCACCTTAGAGACTAACAAATTTATTTGAGCATAAGCTTTTGTGAGCTACAGCTCACTTCATCGGCTGTGAAGTGAGCTGTAGCTCACGAAAGCTTATGCTCAAATAATTTGTTAGTCTCTAAGGTGCCACAAGTCCTCCTTTTCTTTTTGCGGATACAGACTAACACCGCTGCTACTCTGAAACCTGTCATTATGCATATAAAGGAACTGATCCACACTGTCTTAAAGATGACAGCAACACTTTATTCCAGCAGAACATTAAATACCTATAAGGAACAAATTAATCCTGGTAGCTTTCCAGATATTTTCTTCCTCCCCCACCCCCATCTCTGTTGGAAGCGAAACGTGCAGACTCTAGCGCACACAGCCTGAGAGGAAAAAGTGGCACATTTTGCAGACGATACAAAATTACTCAAGGTAAGTCCAAAGCAAACTGTGAAAAGTTACAAAGGGATTGCACAAAACTGGGTGTCTGGACAACAAAATAGGAGATGAAATTCAACGTTGATAAGTGCAAAGTAATGCAAATAATCCAAACTATACATACAAAATAGAGATGGGATCTAAATTAGCTGTTATCACTCAAGAAAGATTTTGGAGTCATTGTGGGTAGTTCTCTGAAAACATCCACTCAATATGCAATAGCAGCCAAAAAAGCTAACAGTGTTAGGAACCACTAGGAAAGGGATAGATAACATGACAGAAAAATATAATGCCACTTTATAAATCTATGGTACACTCTGAACACTATGTGCAGTTCTGGTCACTCCATCTCAAAAAAGGTATTAAAATGAGAAAAGGTACAGAAGGGCAGAAAAAATGATTAAGGGTATGGAACAGCTTCAGCATCAGGAAACGTTAAAAAGACTGGGACTTTTCAGCTTGGAAGAGACACCTAAGGGGGAAAATATGATAAAAGTCTATAAAATCATGAATGGTGTGGAGAAAATGAATAAGGAAGTGTTATTTACGCCTTCATGTGAACACAAGAACCAGCGGTTACCCAATGAAATCAATAGGCAACAGGTTCAAAACAAACAGAAGAATGTACTTCTTCACATAATGCAATGTCGACCTGTGGAACTCATTTGCAGGGGATGTTGTGAGGGTCAAAAATATAATGAGGTTCAAAAAGAATTAGATAAGTTCATGGAGGATAGGTCCATCAGTGCCCTGGGTGTCCTTAGCCTCCAACTGTCAGAAGCTGGGAGTGGATGAATCACTCAATGATTGCCTGTTCAAGTTCATTCCCTCTGAAGCACCTGGCATTGGCCATTGTTGGAAGACAGGATGCTTGGCTAAATGGACCACTGGTCTGACCAAGTATGGCCATTCTTATGTTCTTAGAATATTTACATTTGATCGGAAAGTGACAGTATATTTAAATACCTGTATATGCTGCCTATGAACAAAATACTGTATATAGCCATATCTACATTACAGAATTAAGTTGACTTAAGTTACACTGACAAGCATAAACCACTGTAATTACATTGCTTGTGCATATTCATACAACGATCCTTGTGTCTGCACAGCGCATCCATGGTTGGTGCTCTAGCACCAACAGATAGAGCAGTGCACTGTGGGTAGCTACCCCACTGTGCAAAACCACCACCATCTCCTGCTAGGAGTTCTGGGAAGGGATCGAAGTACACCATGGGGGAAGGATCATTGCCCCATGATGCAGAATTCCAAGGGCTTCCAACTAGGTTTCGTGCTTTTTTCAATTGCTCCCGTAAACTTTGTACCCACCATCTCTGCCTGAAAGCATGGATGCTGCACTGCTCACCAGTCGTGTGATGAACATTATGAATGCAACGTGACTGATCCTGCAGTATTTCATGAGGCAGCATGTTTTTGGCACCATACCAGAGCGATGGTTTGCCTCCCTTGCCTTCTGGTACAACTGCCTCAGCTCCTCGATCTTCACACAGCACTGATGCTTTCTGCCCTTTTCTGCCCCTTCTCAACCACGCCACAAGCAATCTGCTCATAGGTGTCAAAGTTCCTACAGCTGGACCAGAGCTGTGACTGCACAGCCTCCTCTCCCTACAGACCCAACAGATCTAGCAACTCCAGTGCACTCCAGGTGGGAGTGCGTTTGCTGCAGAAAGCAAGCATTGTTAGCTAGGAAGATGCAAGGTGAGCTGTCCACACCGAGCAAACAGGAAGTGGAAATTTCAAAAATTCCTGGGGCTTTAAAGGGTGAGGGGTGTATGTCTGTGTACCTGCAGCAGAGTAGAAACTGCTTACCGGTGGTCATGATGGGAACTGTGGTACACACCCTGGAGGCTACTTAGGGCAACATAAGCAAGCGCACAGCCTATACTGACAGGTTTCAGAGTAGCAGCCTTGTTAGTCTGTATTCACAAAAAGAAAAGGAGGACTTGTGGCACCTTAGAGACTAACAAATTTACTTGAGCATAAGCTTTCGTGAGCTACAGCTGACACGGTATTGCAAAAAGCTCTATGCCGCTTGTTGAGGTGGTTTTATTAGGTCATCATTGGAGAATTAAATCAGCAGGAGGAGCACTATTGAGTGTACACCTCCCCAGTTTTGTTGACGAAACCTGACTTTTGTCGAGAAAACTGTGTAGTGTAGACAAGGCCTATGTATATGCACTTGTAAAAATATACTGTACATTTATTTGGAGATGCAATGGCCGAAGTGCACATTTGTTCTATCTACATTATTTAATAAGAAATATAGCTAAAATTATATTACCACAATATTCTGGATTTGAACACAATAATCAATTAAAAAATTATTCCCACAGCAACTGTAGCTAAGGCATGCATACTTCATATACTGTTACCTATGTCTTAAAAGCATATACAAAATATTACACATATGAAAAGGGTCATGCCACAATTGCTATAGAGTATACCATCTTGACAATGCATTTCTCTCTCCAGGTATAACATCAACTGAAATCATACTGACCTAACCCCCACTCTTTTATAGTGTTACAATAAATCAAAAATGGAATTATTTCCTAGAAAACTACAGCTCATTTATTCCACTATAACATTCCTTGAATGTTTTGGAATGAACTTCTATAAAAAGTAACAATGGAATTTAATCAATTCAATAATTTCAAGTTTTAATTCAGGACTTGAAAATGTGAGTATAAAATAAGAATTTGGCACAGCAAGTTCATGTTTTGTAAAGTATTTCTTACCCCTTGCTACTGTGTAAACCATTTGCACAAAAAAGGGAAAGTGAATATACAGAGAATACAGTAAAGCTGACTATACACAAAGCGCTTGTCAAATGCAAACTACACAAACTAGATTTTTTCCTCTAATCTTTAAATTACAAAGGTTTTAGGAGTTAACTTTTAAAAGAAATAGCAACAAAATATTCAGACAGAGCTGTGCTTTTTAAGTTGGTGTTTCCCTTTTCATTAAATTTTTTTGTATACATTTTTAAAAGGACAATATCTTTGACTATGAGACCTTTTATTAAGACAGATTGACCATATAAAACTTTAGCAATCCCCAATGGAACACTGTTCA